CCAGCGTCCAGAGCCTGCTGCAGCCCTGTGTCACTCAGAGTAACACTGCCGTGCTCTCCTGGGTCAGCAGGCCCAGCAGGAGCAGCGGCCACCCTGGCTGGCCCTGACCCTCTCCCCATCTCCCTCTGCCCTGTCCCTTGCGTGGTCTCGCTAGCCTCAGCCACTCCTTCCCCTCCACAGCTCCTGGTGCCACCAGAGGCATGATTATCCCCTTTTCTCTTTGCTTGTCTCCATCCTGCTGCAGGAAGTGCGGTCGTCACACGATGGCACCAGGTGTCCTTGGCATTCCCAGCCCGGCATATAGCAAGCAAACATCTGTTGGACAAACTGGCCCAGCGAATGCATCGGGAGGAAAGCCCAGATGTCCTCAGCACTCTGCAGAGCATGCTTCATATGCACAGGGCCAACGGGGAAACTGAGGCCAAGAGGAATGCTCAGGAGAATGAGGGGTCACACAGACGAGTCTCGAGAGCAGCTTCCAGGTTCCTTGGCCAGGGCTCTTTCCACTGTAGCACACAGGGGTCAGCCTGGCCCACCAGGTAACCTCCACCCCTGCTCTGGAACATAGAGTGGGGGTGTGTGTGACAAACTCATGCGTTGGCCTTTGTCTACGGTCAGGACTCTCTCCAAGATCAAGGGCCTGGTCCCGTAGCCCAAGGCTTCCAGGAGAGATCCTCCAGCCCCAGCAGAAAGGGCCCCTCCTGCTAGGGCAAGTGGGGCCAGGGTGAGGAACTCATCCTTAGAGAGGAACCTAAGAGCCGCCCCGCAGGCTGGTTTCTGTTACAGCAGACAGGGACAAACAACAGGTGCGGCACGGGCCAGTGCGGGGGAGGGGCCGGCGCCAGCCCACGCCTCACTCCAGACGAGCCACAAACAGGAAGCTACAGTGGGGGGAGCGGGCAGGGCCACCACTGTGACACCCTGAAGGTAAGTGACGACGCCACGAGGGGCAGGGAGGAAGCCGGTGCTTCCCCCACTGTGGGCCCATGCATCTGCTATTCCTTGGGCCTAGAATGCTCTTCCCCCAGGTCCTCACTCCTCAGAGGGGCCTTCTCCAACTAGACTGTCACACACACACACTGCCGTCACCTGCAAACCCCTCCCCTGGCATTTCTACTTTGTATTATGAGATAATGATAGACTCCAAAGAAGTTGCAAAAACAGTACAGAGAAGTCCTGTGTGCCACTCCCCTCTGGCTGCCCAATGGCGACATCTCACATAAGTAAACGTGCTACCAAAACCAGGAAACTGACATGGGTACAGTGCTGTGGGCTAGACTCTGGGCCCTCATTGGATTTCACTATTTTTTGCACGTGCTGACTTCTTTTGCATGCTGTCTGTAATTCTATGGCACTTTATCACATGCACAGATTGGTCTACCCACCATTATACTCAAGACACAGGACTGCTTGGTTCCTACACAGGAACTCCCGTGCCCAGCGTCCTGCTTAACTGCACTTATCACCTGAGAGCACAGACAGAACATGAGCGCCCTGAGGTTGGGGACCAGGTCTTTCTTATTCAAAGTATTCCAGGCACAGGGCCTGGCATACAGCAGGTGCTCAATAAACACTTGATGAACCAATGTTTCTGGGAGTGGTTCCATGCTCTCAGAGGAACCATTCTCTTGTCATCCTTTCACCAGCTCCTCTACTTGCGCTGGGGACAGAGGTGCTCTGCACAGGCCCCTCAGCGTGCACACACACACAAGGCCTGGGGGTGGCAAGGGCAGCATGTTTCAACTTGGCCACCAGGAACTGTCACAAGGAGGATGTACAGGTCTCTGAAACGATACACCCTCTGGGGCATTGATACACCCTGTGGTCCCACAGCCACTGTCAACCTCAGGATGTCAGTGCTCTCATTCATCCAAGAGCTGCCACGAAGCCAGAGGAAGGTATAAAGGCCTTATGGAGGAGACGAGGGCCCCAGAGCCTCCAGCTCAGGCCCTGCCACCCCCAGATGTGGGAGCTCAGGTTAAGATCCTCCGTTGCACCGGGCCTCAGTTTGTACTGGCAGACGATCAACAGACCTCTCTGCAGGACTGTTACAAGACACTCCACTGACAAATTCCAAGCCTTCCCATGGCCAGGCCCTGACAACGGCTCTACACACAGGCCCTCCCTTGGTCCTCAAGTCAGCGCTGTGAGGATAGCACTGTCACCATCCCCACCAGACAGAGATGAGCCTGGAGAAACAGCTGAGCCATGCAGCAAGCCCAGATAGACCCCAGAGCCCTTGCTCCAGCACAGTGTGGCCTGATACCCGGCATCCCCGGGGACCCTGTCCTGTTAGTTCAGACTGCCCGAACCTGGCCCTGTGTCTGGCAGAATGAAGCTCTCAGTGAACAAGCACTGAGCCCACAGGAAGGCCCCCTTAAGAACAGGAGGGGGACCTGCACCCAGAGAAGCAGCTGGCCCTTCAAAAATAACCTAAGGAGAAGCTCCAAGTATCACCAGGCTCAGGACAAACCTCAGTTCCTGGCTGCCTTAGGCCCAGGAGGGACAGACACCCTTGACACACAGAGGCTCTTCCAGGCCAGACCAACGTTCTGCCTGGACACATGCCCTCTCCAAACTGCTCCAGGCCCCTCTCCCGCCTGAGGCTGCTGACTGTGCCATAGCTGGCAAAGAGACGCCTAGCTGTGGGGTCTATGGTCGAATCTGTTTCCTCCTACAGTTACCGTTCAGGGTCGTGGGGCTGGTACAAGCCACTTGCCACCCACAAAGGGTCTCCAAACCCCAGGCCTCGGCTACACAACAGAAACACACAGGCTGAGTGAGGTCCTGAAAGAGCCCCCTTTAACTCAAAAAAGAAAAAATTGGGGACAGGATAATCCAAGCAAACACCATGAAGTGTAGAGGTTCTTTGGTAAATCCTTATAACTGACGGACGTTTATGACCCAGCCAGGCAAGGATTCCACAGCGGTCTAGCCTAAAAATGGGGCTGTGGAATCTTTAGAACTGCCAAAAGCATGGGATTGGGCCAGCAAGCCTGGGAAAAGTTCAGCCAGGCAGGAGAAGGGTTAACTGGTTTGCAAACTCTGAGCTGCCCTGCTCCTGGCCCCCACCATGCCCTCGGCCAGCACAGCCCAGCCTTGCTGCCAGCCCAAAGCTGACAAAACTGACCGCTGAGTCAGGCCCGGCTGCGCTCCTGGGGCCTGATTGTTTGCAAAGACAAAAGGACTGCTCCGGGCCCAACTCTCCAGGCTGGCTGGCACGGAGCTGGGAGCAGACAGCTGGGCCCGGACACCGCCTCTCTGTGGCAACACCCCGGGGCCCTCCCATCACCCTGGATCTCAGCAAGGCTTGGGCTGAGGCAGGAGGCAGTGACACTCTTGGAGATGTCAGTTCCACATTCACGGGAAATGAACAGTGGACAGTCCCTCTGACCCCTTGTCTCTGTTTGGGTCTCCACCCCTTGGCAACCAACGAATAGATTTTGAGGCCTCTTCATCATCACAGGTATTAAATGGCCAGCCAGCAGATTTAGTTACAAAACACTGTCGCCTGAAGCCAGGTGCACACAGTGGTAAAATCTGTGACCCAACTACCTTTGCGGGGGGGGGTGGGGACCTGGAAACAGAGCCAAAGCGAGGGGAAACGAAGAACGCCCTCATTTGGCCCGACCCCAGAGAACTTGGGGTGACGGCACAAAGGCTGGGGTTTCCCCAAATACCTTCATGACACTCCAGACATTTATGAAACAGATCTTGGGGCGAGAAGAAGCCCAGAACCACCTGCTCCCACCACCCTCTTTGTTCCCTTCCAGGAAGACAGAGACACCCAGACAGGCTGGGAAGACTCAGGGCACGTCTAGCACCCCACGGCCGGTGGCTCCTCCACTGTTGAGCTCACATGTCCTCCAGTCCTTACAGAAGCCACTGTGAAGCCCCTGGAGCTGTCTCTCAGGGCCCGTAGCAACCCCGCCTGGGTCATCTGATCAACCCACCATCAGCCACGAGCTGGGCCCCAACCCACTCCACAGCATTCTCTGTCCACACTGCCCCAGTGAGGCAGGCTACACCTCAGCTGAGCATCTCTCCACAGCCTGCACGCAAATGCGCGTGCACGCACACACACACATCCTCAACTTGAGACACAAAACCCAGAGGAGGGACTTGAACTCAGAAAGCTCAGGGAGTGCTAACCTTCTGTAAGGAGCAGCCTGTCCTGTTTCGGAGCCATCTTCTCCCCCCACCCTCCCTCCCTCATCAGCATGCTCCCTGCACTGGGGCAAAGAGCCCACATCAATCATGGGCCGGGAAGTCAGACTGCATGGCAGGGCCCTTGTGTCTCTGAAGCATCCGTGTCCTTCCCCAAGCAGCTGCCAGGCCTTATTAGATGTTTAAAAAACAAAAGAAAACAAAAAGGCAAGAAGTGGAGGACTTTTTAGAAAGAAGGAGGGTGGGACACGCTGCTCCAAAGTGAGCCAGACAGAGGGCCCATAGGCCGGGCCCACGCACACCCTGACATCTGGCCCTGGTCATATCTCACTTGCTGCAGCTACACAAACAGGGGACCCTGGCTGGCAGTGACCTACTGCCACCATCTGGCACTGGAGCAGGTTGGAGGGGTGCCGGGGGAGCCCCACCCGCTATGCTTACCTGGACCAGGCCCATCCTAAGCCCTCTATCCATAGAACTCAAAGGTGCTGTTACCACCCATGTTACAGGTGAAGAAACTGAGGCACAGGCGGCTGTGTAAGCTACCCAGGGTCACACAGCTAGTGAGGGGGAGCCAGGTTTGCACCCAGGCAGGCAGGCAGGCAGGCTCCAAGTCTCATACTTCCTTCTACAGCGTGGCCTCTGCCAGGGATGGAGAAATAAAATCTCCCTTCTCCACCTTCTCTGGGCTCCTCCCTCCCTCTCCACCCACAAAACGCAATGCAATCACATTTCTGAAAACCATCGTTTCCCCAGACTTTCAGACCCAGGAAGCTCACGGCCGGGTGCACCTCATTCTCCAGGGACTGCCCAAGCCAGCCACATCCACTCACCCATAAGTCCGCTGGATCAAGGTGGGGTGTAGCTGCTGCACGCCGACAGCAAAGCCTAAAACAAGAAAACAGTTAGGGACCTGGCCTCACTGCAGGGGCAATATCCCTGGAGTTTCGCACGAGACAGAACCACATGGCCACACACCTCTAGTCCAAAGGGATAACCAGCCTCCCCTCCTAACTCCCAGGCCACCCCCACCTCACGAACCCAAAAGCACCCAGACAAAGTGGGCCAAGGGACCCAGCTGGTAGCAGCCTTTCAATGTCCATAACTCCAACCTCTGGCCCTGGGGACTGACTTCCTCCCTCCTGGGAAGAACGCAGATAACAGGGGTGATGTACCCCCAACCCTGTCCCTTGGGGCACACGCTGCTGTGGAGGGGTCTAAGAGTACAGCTCCCAAGCTGGGGAATGACAGCCCTGTGATGGCTCTGCAGGCACATGATAGCTGACTGCCACTCCCGGGGCGGGGGGGCCTTTTCCACCCCACAGATACCGACGCTGAATATAGAAACTGAGAAGAGCCAGAAGGAGAAAACAGAAGCTCTCACCCGTCTGGAGGCTCCGAGGCTTGGCGCCCAAATATGCCAGGTTCACGTTGGCCTTGCGGCCGTCAATGATGGGGTTGGGGTCTTTGCAAGCTCTCTCAGCTGCTGCCCGGTCGGCCATGGTCACCTGGAGGAGCACAGATGCATCAGGCGTTTCCCTTGCTGGGTAGGGAGTGCCAGGGAAGGCACGCGAGGTGGGGGGCTCTGCCCAGCATTGGGCACTCCCTTCCCACTTTTGCCTCCCTCTGAGGGTGCCTGTTACCCCAAGCCTGGGGCCCCATGGATTCCAGCTCCTCCCCTCAAAGTTCAAGGGCTGAGAAATCTTGCCTTCAAGGACAGAAACAATCCCCTGGGAAGATGGGGCAAAAGTGAACCCCAAACGGAGGCAGGGAGCCCCAGCCTGGCCAACTCTGGTGGACCTCGAATTTCCTCATGGGAGTCTGGGGACACTGTAGTTGGAAGGGAAGTGAGAAAACGAGTCTTCAAGCCTTTTTTATTTAAGTTGATGTTTACTAGGGGCGGCTGAACGGGCTGTTGGAAAATATGGGGGGGGGGTCAAAGGACTCCAAAGCACCCTCAGGTGGGGCCTTCCCTCTTCACCCGCCTGCTGCTCCAAGAAATCCCAAGA